AGATTCAGCAGAAACCATTATCAGAGGGAAATGTTTAGTTATACATATCTACATTTTGAAAAGAAAGCAATCCAGCCAGGCTCAGTAATGTTCACGTGAATTTGTAACTATTTAGAAGATTGAGGGAAGACAATTGCACATTTGAGGACAGTTTGAGCATTATAGCAAGAACTAATCTCAGGGGCAGAGAATAAGTTTCCAAATCTGCAACCTAACTTTAAGAAACTAAGGGAATGGGCTGGGAAGGTGGCTCAGTGGTAGAGCACTTGCCTTGCATGCATGAGGCCCTGGGTTCGATTGCTCAGCACCACATAAGCAAAAAAAAAGCCAGAAGTGACGCTGTGGCTCAAGTGGTAGAGCGCCAGCCTTGAGCTGAAGAACTGAAGGACAGTGCCCAGGCCCAGAGTTAAAGCCCCACTACTGGACCCAAAAAATTAAAAAAAAGAAACTAAGGGAAAAAAAAGAACAACACCCTAAGTAGGCATAGTGGTCTCTGCCTGTAATCTCAGCACTAAAGAGGCTGAGGCAAGAATATCATGAGTCTGAAGCAAGCTTCGGCAGCTGTACAAGACCCTGTCTAAAAGAGGAGAGCTGGTGACTGTTTTCAAAGATCAACAAAAGTGACACGCTTTTAGTTAAATTTATTAAAAGAAAAAGAATAGTAAAGGTACTAAATTGTAAATGAAAATGGGTGACATTATCTTTGACTTTAGAGATAAAAGCAATAAAGCATTAAAGTAATACTAGTATTCCAACAGTTAATCTTGGGAAATGTATGAGTTTCTAAAAAGTACACATACACTACCAAAATTTGCTCATAGAAGAAACAGCAAATCTAAACAAAGCAAAAACAAAGAGACCGAATCACTAATAAATAATCTCCTAATTAAGAAAAGTACAAGACTAGTGGTTTCACCAGTTAATTTACTAATGATTTAGAACAGATTCTTTTTTTTTTTTTCACTTTTTTTTTTTTATTGTAAAGATACTATACAGAGGGTTACAGTTACATGAGTGATAGAACAGATTCTTAACCCATTGGGTGTTCACTGTGTTCATCTGTTATCAGAGACAAAGATACCACAAGAAAAAGGGAACCTCATTTTTCCAGTTCGAAGACTTAACCATAAAACTACAATAATCAAAATAGTGTGATACTCTTATTAGGTAAATATATAAACCAATGAGATACAATTGAGAGTCTATAAATAGCTGAAACATTTATTGTCAATTATTTTCAAAGAAGATGCTAAGATCACAGAATAGGGAAATAGTATCCAACAGATATGCATGGGAGGTTGGGATCCTTTCTCTACACCAAATATAAAATGAACTCAGTATTTACTGAAAACCTAAATGTAACAGTTAAAACTATAAAATTCTTGGGAGAAAATACAATGCAACACTTTATCATCTTAGACTTGTCAATAGAGTCTTAGATCTGACATCAAACAGAAAGAGGAAGTGGAGCTATGGCTCCTGTGGTATAGATCTGTAGCCTTGAGCACAAAGGCTCAGGCACAACATCCACACCCTGAGTTGAAGCCCCAGAGTAGGCACCAAAAAAGATAAAAATAAAACTAGAAATAAAAAAGCAAAATTGAAAAAAAATTGCATCAAAAGATATTAAGATAGTAATCCCAGACATCAAGTGGTTGAAGCAAGAGGATTATAAGTTCAAGGCCTCAATATATCATGTAGCAAGACCTTGTCACACACACTCTTTAAAAAAGAAAAAAAAAAAGGAAAAGAATTTTAGGGCTAGCTCAGTATGTACAAGACCCTACGTTCAATTTTGTAGCTGTACGTCTAAAATGACCATCAGTAGATGAATGGGTAAATAAATTATATATATCCATACAATGGAATGTTATTTAGTCCTATGGAATGAATGTTGATACCTGCTAGAAGGTGAAGAAACTTTAAAAGCATTGTGCTAGCTGAAAGATGCCAGGTGCAAAAGGTTACATATTGGCCAGTTGGTGGTGCCTCACACCTGTGATCCTAGCTACTCAAGAGGTTAAGAGCTGAGGATTACGGTTCAAAGCCAGCCTGAACAGAAAAGTCTGTGAGACTCTTAGCGCCAATAAACTACTCAGGAAAAAAAAAAAATGATGCTGGGGCTCAGTTGGTAGCATGCTAACCTTGAAAAAAAAAGAAGCCCAGGGTCAGTGCCCAGGCCTAGAGTTCAAGTCCCAGGACCGGCAAAAAAAAAAAAAAAGTTACATATCATATGATTAGATTGATATGAAATATCCAAAATAGATAAATCTATAAACCTATAGAGACAGGAAGCAAGTTGGTGTTTGTCAGGAGTTAGGGAGGGTAAAATGTGAAGTCACTACTTAGTAAGTGTAGAGGTTGGGGAGGAAAGGAACAGGAGTGAGCTTAATGGATATGGGCTTCCTTCTGGGGTAGTGAGAATGTTCTGGAACTAGATGGTAGTGGTGGTTGTACAACAATATGAATGTACTAAATTCCAAGTTTTAGAAACTTAAATGGTTCATTTGTCATATAAATTGTATCTTGATTTTTTTTTAAGCTGAAACTTTTTTTTTGGTCGTGGGGCCTGAACTCTGGGCCTAGGCGCTGTCCCTCAGCTCTTTAGCTCAAGGCTAGCGCTCTACCACTTGCTTATGTGGTGCTGAGGAATTGAACCCAGGGCCTCAGGCATGCAAGGCAAGTGTTCTACCATTGAGCCAACTTCCCAGCCCAAGCTGAAACATTTAAAGGGGACAAAGTGGGAGGAGAGAAAAGGAGAGAGCCATTTATATAAGAGGTGTTTTTTTTTTTTTTTTTTTTTGGGGTCCCGTCGTGGGGCCTGAACTCTGGGCCTGGGCGCTGTCCCTCAGCTCTTGAACTCAAGGCTAACACTCTTCCACTTGAGCTACAGTGCCACTTCCGGCTTTTTTTTCCTGCTTATGTGGTGTTGAGGAATTGAACCCAGGGCCTCAGGCATGCAAGGCAAGCGCTCTACCACTGAGCCACCTTCCCAGTCCGAGAGGTTTTGTTTTTATAGGATTTTGTTGTGATAGTCCTATGGCTTGAAATCAGGGCCTGAGTGCTGTCCCTGAGCCTTTTTTGCTTTACCACTTAAGCCACAACTCCACTTCAGCTTTTGGGGTTAATTAGAAAAAAAAGTCTCACAGTGAGACCAAAAGAGAAAATCACCAAGGTGTAATACCCAAGTGCCTCTTCATATGTATATAAAATAATATACATACTGAACCAAACTCCAAAAATAAGGAATTCTTAATTTGTTTTTGTTTTGTTTTCTGATGACTCTGTGTTCTTTATCTCATATGGTGCACATCTGAGGGAAGTGAGGGGGGCACAGAACCAGTGGAAAACAGTTGGAAAAGTGCAGCAATAGAGCCCACTGGCTGTATTGGGCATTGATAAAAGTGAACCACGCAACTTGTGGGCAGAGATGGGAGGGAGGGAATGGGAAAAAATGAGGAAACAGATGATACTAAGCAAAAGGAAGGAAATGTACTTAACTGCCTGACATAATATGTGCAGGTAACTCTGCTGTATATCTCCTCTATAACAACAATAAAGGAATTTTTAAAAGAGAGCAGCATCTCATGGACTTTGCAGTGGACTGGGTTTGAACCCCAATGCTTAGATATCAGCTTCCTGAGTAGCTAGGATTATAAATATGAACCATCATCTGGCTCTATAGAGTTATTTTTAGAGTTAGTTAGAATAGAGATAGAAACTAGATTTTCCAAAGTTCTTCTAAACTGACTTGAGTAAAGTCCTGACTAAAGCTGAAGTTTATTTCTCAGTGTATTTGTAATGCTCGGTGGTTGAAAAGACAGCTACTAAGAGTTTGGTGGTGGCAGTAAGGGATATTAAGTATATTGTTGGAGGAAAATAAATGTGCAAGAGGAATCTCATCTCCTTTTACTTGAGTGTCCTCTCAGATGTAGTCTATACCCTTTCCCGTTGACTTTCCTTTTCCCTCTCTTTCACATCTCTCTGGTCCCTTCTCATTTCAGCTGCCAGAAATCTGGGAGCAAAATCCTGCCAAACAAACCTCATTTGTTTTATGATGGGGTCATTGGGTGAATGGGTTAGGGCTGTGCTATCTCTGAATTTCAGTGAAGCATTTGACAAAGTCTCATGATGTCACCGAAGCATACCTCAGGGTTCCCTCCTCAGCCTTGTCATCTTGATGGATTTCCTTTAATCACATTTTTGATGCCTAGACATTAGAAAGGCTATAAATGCATTGGTTGACAAACTTAGAATCTGAAAAAGGATAGGAATGTATGATGCTTATGGACTAAATAGGACAAGACGAATTTCATCAGAGAAGCAGAGATTAACATTAGATCTTGCAGTTGAGACAAACAAATACAAACTAAATAAACATAACATAGAAGGATAAAACAGAACATACCACAACACAAAAAGTCATAAAGTGTGACTGTTGTCAACATCCAGACAAAAGCTAGCACAAATGGGTTCCTGGAATATGCTCCATTCTAGTCAGGCCACATCTGAGGCATTGTCCTCCATGTCATTTTACAGTGAACTTTGACAAACTGGAGAGGGATTTACAGGATCAGGTCTGGGATGAAGAAGAAACTTACGCACGTGTCATCAGACACAAGTGAAGAAAATGAATGGCTAGAAAATACTGACATTCTTCAAACAGTGTCCAAAAAGTACAGCATTATCAACTGGTGTGATGACAAAAAACACTTTTAGCAAAAACTGGATGACTGCTTTTCAAAAATGTTGATAGAGTGGAATCACAGTTACTAAAATATCACTCAGTCTGAAGATTAGTGAGTATACATACGTAGTAAAAAGTGGGCAAGGTTAGCATGGAGAATATAATAGATGCTGAAACCATTGGTCCAATTCAAAAATTACTTTTAGGGTGTTTTGTAAGTTTAACACATTGCTGAAGGTCCTTTAAGATAATTCAGAAATGGTGAAGCAGTATCAGCAGGAAGGTGACTTGTTTCTTTGGTCTTGTTTTGTAGTCTAGTCTCCTAAGACAAGATCTAGGACTCGGGAGTCCAGCACAGCTGTCTTCTTCAGGAAAACCTGGTACACCGTACTACTTCTCAGCAACAAGCTCCAGGAGAAGACCACTCCATGACTCTGTAGCCCTAGGTGAGTCCATCACACAGAAACTCCCATCTTACAAATGTTTCTAGTCTTTTTAAAATTTCTCCCCACCTGAACTATGCTGGTGTGCTTTTAATTAGAAGGTCCATTGGAAGGGAAAACAATGCAGAGGGTTATTCTGAACAAAACATAATTAAAATTAAAAAGGTGTGCAACTGTGACATATAGGATTGTCACGGTGCTGTTCCCCCTGTCCAGTTCCAAAACAGTACTGGAGAAACCTTGTACAGTATTAAGCCCTCGTACCCTCTCTTCTTTTGTGGCTTTTTTTCTTTCTTTCTTCTTTTTCTTCTTCTTTCCCTTCTCCCTTTCTCCTTCCTCCTTCCCCCTTCCTCTTCCTCCTTTAGATCTCAGAGTCCTGAGTAGCTAGGATTACTGGCATGAGCTACCAGCACCTGGCTTGGCTTTTTTCTAACTCATATGTAGCCCTACTAAGCCAGTGTGTTTTGTGTTAACCTCACATATACCCCAATATCTTATCCAATCAAAATTTTTGGTGATTCCTGCCAAAGACCTTTATTGTAGCATAGGTCAGCTTCTAAAATTATCTACTAAAAGAAACTATGTAATAGGAACAAATATTTGTTGACTGCTTTCAGTTTATATGTGAAATATTTAGGTGAAATGTTAACTGGTTTAAACTGTTTTAAATATTTAAGTGAAATATTTCCGAGGTTTAAGCTCTTGAAGGTTGTGCAAAGGGCATGTTCAGGATTATCAAACTCAGTGATGAAAAATCTTTAACTAGATATATCCACTTCTTAGTATGTATTGGTATGGGTATATATGGTAGGTGATTTAGAATGTGTGCATGTTATTAAGATTCAGCCCTATCAATTTAGACAGGTATTTTTAAAGAAATGCTAAATAGTAAATACATTTCTTCATTTCCACTGTTTTTCTACTTTTTGACTTAGTCAAAGTGGGAATGTTGTTTTGAGTGTAAATGTTACTCTAGAAAAACATCTTGTTCAAATGGTATGTGAGCACATACTATCACAAAGGCACTAATATCATCATTATTACTATTACTATCACTAAAACTTCAAGAGGAAAACATCAACTATTCAAGTAATTAGGAAAGAATAGATTTCATAAAATTCCATGTTTAAAATTCAAGTTTCCTGCAAATTAAAACTTGTATGTTCTTTGTTTTCATTGATATAAATACTTTTGATGGTCTTTTCTATTCTAGGTATAGCACTATACACAGCACATCTTTTCAGAAGCTCTATGGGCTTGTAATGTTTGCCTCAGCTTAGACATGAGCCAAGGCATCAAGAAACAGTAATTTAATTTAGTCCAGGCTAAATGGGAACTGTGGTCATTCTCTTGACACTTGGGGAGACCCATTGGCCTTCCCATGTGAATATTATTTAGCAGATTATTATTAACATTGTCCATTGATATTACTTTGTGTTAACCATTTTTCTTGGCACTGAAGTCATTGAAGAACTTCAGAGATCTGTTCTTAACTAAGTATCTTCTGGAACCATTTAGGTATTTTAGGAAATGAACAGTTACTAATTATCTCATTTGTAATCATTTTCCTCTACATTTTAGCATAATAATAATGGCTGAAATTTATCAAATGCCATGCACTATACTGAGCCACATTTCATATATCAGCCTACTACAGGAAATACTTGGTAGAGGAGGCACTCACCAGTTATTCCTCTGAGGGAATTAGGAGCCAAGAAAGGTTAAAAGTAACTGTTCTGACTCACATAGCTACTGTGGGATGGAACTGAAATTTTAATTCAGCCAATTTACTCTTAACCACAATTCACAACCTCCCAAAAGTGAACTGTGAATCCCAGGCTTATGAGTTTAAACTGTTTTAAAATCACATTTCCTATGTGATTGTGTAGTTAGTGGTAGATTATGTAGTGGCGGACAGTTGTAGTGCAGATACAAAAGAAAAAAATTACTCACATGAAAGAACAGCATCTTCTAGAAAGACTTCAAAATGGAACGTTGAGCTCCAGATTGGTAGGAGCTGTGCAGCTGGCTAGGGTGTTGGGTTTTTTTGTTTTTTTTTTTTTTAATAATAAAATGGTGCTTTTGCCCAAGGAATACGTATTCCTTGTGAGGAAGTGGGCTGCAGAATTGTTTCACAAAGAACAAAGATTTTGCCTTTCATTTTACAAATATAGAGTGTGCCAGATGTTGTTTATCTTTGGCACTTCTGTTTTAAGGAAATATAGGCTGCCTCTTGGGGTAGGGACATAGATGCTAATGAATGCTTTTCCCCTTTTTTATTGTATAATATTTTTCCATATGCTACTTATAAAGTTGCTTTTTTAGCTTTACAGCCTCCTGGGATACTCGCTGTAGAGAATTCCCAGCCCAGATTTAAATGAGTTTCATTCTTTCTAAAACTGCATGTTTTATTATGTTGTATCATTTATGGCACAGGAAAATACTGTGCTTGTATAATTCTCTTTTTTTTATAGTCTTCAAAAATATTGGACTTTACATCAGCCTTTTCATGTGTTCTCTCTCCCTAGTAGTGACCCCTCTGAAAATCCTGAATTAGATCCATTATTCATGTAAGAGTGGGAAGCAGTGCTTGTCACTTGAATCTACAATAAGTAACATGGATAAATTTTAAATTCTGTAGATAAATAGAAGCTGGTTAAACAAATATGATGTTTAGAAAGAAACATTTTAATAATTTATAAGAAATACATAGATTTCTAGGATAACTTGCGCAGTAGCGTTCAGGTTATACTTTCAACCACACATAACTGAAACACTGTTGATACTAAATGATATTGTGTAATGTCTGTGTCCATATTTTTTTGGTTTATATAGTGTATCTTAATATTGTTGTAAATATTAATTTTTCATTCCTTAAAACTTTATTTCAAAGTTTTAGCATAATTGCAACATACGATTAGCTTTTAGCTATTTTAGTTTTTTAAATATCCTTTTGGACCTGACCTTATTTTTTATCCCATCCACTTTGGAGGTACTGGGATTCAAACTCTCAGGACCTTGAGCTTGCTATACTGATGCTCTACCACTTGAACTATGTCTCCAGCTATGCTTTTTGCTAAGTTTTTGGAAATAGCATCTAGCAGACTTTTTTAGTAGAAAAGTAGCCTCAAACCTTGTTCCTCCAGATCTCACCCTCCAGAGTAGCTAGGATTGCAGTGTATCACTGGCACCTGGCATAAACCTAATTCTTAGTACAATGCAGATATTGAATTTGTCTCTCCGCTGGGGGGAGCGTATTATTAACCTGTTGCACCAAGTACCCCACTCCAGTGAAACTGAGATAAATTCCACCAAACGTCTACTATAGTACCTGCCTCATAACAGGTTCTTTAAAGTCCATTCTCTTCTCTTGTACCTGCTTATTGGTTTTTCTTTCTCACTTTGCTTCATTTCCTGTTTTTTCCCAAAGTCATGGGACAAGAATTGCAGAATTATCACTTCATTGGGAGTGATTATTACAGTTAAGAGGAACAAAGCTCCCATACCTAGGTTTCCCTGCTTACTCAAAGTACTAGGGGGCGGGGGGAAGACACTAGGGGGAAAATATTTCCTATTGATTGAAAGTCTGAAAAACTTTTTTCCCTACTATGATAAACATACATGCTGATATAATACATTGTTGTTATTTTTTATGTGCAGATCCTTTGCAAGCAAAGAAAGTTAGAAAGGTGCCTCCCGGTTTGCCTTCTTCTGTAAGTACTGCCCCCCTCCTTTTGGCTTGATAGTAAATAAATTGATGTCAGATGTTGAGTATTGCTTGCTGCAAGGGAATATTCGATCAGTGCCAGTGGGCATACTTTACATAGTAACTGTTCACCGCTTAACAAAACCATTGATTGAAGTAAATCCACAGTTAATGTTGGGCTCCTAGACTTCTCAGCAGAGATTTGCAGCTAACTCATATGCTCCTACTCTTATGTCCCTGTCGTTTGAATTCCCCTCTTGGGAAGAGGACCAGGCCGGTAGCTGTCAAAGAAGATCTCCTGTACAGGTCTTTTGATGTTTAATTAGTCATTATGTTGCTGAACAGGAGGACAGACAGAGATTAATAGCTGAGAATCTTAGAAATTTACATTTGTAATAATCCCAATGGAGCTAAAGACATTAAGATTCGGAGGACATGTTCGGCTCAGCTTGCCTCAGTAGGACTGAGGTTATTAATATGCATAAATCACCAAGTCAGATGTTCTGGTGAAACCCTTGTGGATTTTAAAGCCTTCATTAAGCTTTTCCTAACTTCAGCCTAGCATCAGGAAAGCTTTCAAGCAACTGGTTTGTTGATCCCTCTTTGCTCAAAAATGTATCCTCTGAGAATAAAGAGCTTTGATAAAGGAGGTTGGGAAGGTTTGGTGGAGCAGTCATTAATGGCTGTGATAATCTAATACTGTAGGAGTGTCTGTGCAATTAAATACACTTTTCTTTAAAGGCGTATTTGTAAATGAGCCTCCATAGTGAATCTACCTACAATTTAAAAATCTGGTGCAAGGAAGGATTGTAACGTTTTTTGTTGTTTTTTTCCCCCTCTACTTGGAACAAATAGGGAGCAAGGCTCTTGGATGGAGTGCCTTGCCTTGTAGGGTACATCTCTTTGTTGTGTAAATAGATGTTGGGCTTTTATTTGGCGGTACTTAACACTTGGGCGCAGGTGCTGGGGGATGAGTCACAGCTCCTGGAAGTATAGACTGAATGGAATCTCTGGCTTGGCAAGTAGTAATCTAGAAGGAGCAGCCTGGGTCTGAAGCTTTTTTTATTTTTTGTTGAGGCTAAAGTAGAGATATCATCTTTTTGGTTGTTTGCTTTCCTACTTTCCTATGTTCTTTCCCCGCCTTCTCTTCCGTGTGACACATGAAAAGTAGAATTTGAAATCCTCTTTGAAACTCAGTTCCAGATGGAAAGAGTTTTACACAGCCTATAGGGCAGCTGTGCTCTGAACCTGCAGCCTACCTGGAAGGTTGGATTGCAGCTGCAGGCATTCTTAAAAGCTTTTGCTTGCATAAGCACTTGGGCCCACTAGAGGCTGAATAGCTGCTTGATAAACAAAATGAACACAATGCCTCCAGTCATTATTCCTGAAGACAGGAATATTTTTTCAGCAGCAGCTAAAAATAGGTGGGCAATTTACATTTTAACAGTTGTGTGCTATGCAAGGGTAGGTGGTTCCACCGTGTAACAGATGATTTCTGTTAGATTACCAAATCATATTAAAACTGGCACAACTGTTAGCACATGGTACAGTGAAATTTCTTATAATTTATTACTATAATTCTGTGAAGGTAATAAAAGTTAAATTACAGATTAATATTAGGACTGCACAGGTTAAAAAAAGATTAGTAGGTGAAAAATTTACCTCATTTCTTTTTAACTTGACATGGTTTTAAAAAAAAACGAGACAAAACACTGTATTCTCGGTTCTTTCATAGCTCTTTCCATTTTTAAAACAAAAGGGCAAAGTGGATAAACAGCATCACCAGTGTTCCTTATATTCCTCAATATGAGACTCACTACTTGGAGGTTGTTTTCTTATGTTGTCTCTTTTTTTTTTTTTTGTCAGCCGTGGGGCTTGAACTCTGGGCCTGGGCGCTGTCCCTCAGCTCTTGAACTCAAGGCTAACACTCTTCCACTTGAGCTACAGTGCCACTTCCGGCTTTTTTTTCCTGCTTATGTGGTGTTGAGGAATTGAACCCAGGGCCTCAGGCATGCAAGGCAAGCGCTCTACCACTGAGCCACCTTCCCAGTCCGAGAGGTTTTGTTTTTATAGGATTTTGTTGTGATAGTCCTATGGCTTGAAATCAGGGCCTGAGTGCTGTCCCTGAGCCTTTTTTGCTTTACCACTTAAGCCACAACTCCACTTCAGCTTTTGGGGTTAATTAGAAAAAAAAGTCTCACAGTGAGACCAAAAGAGAAAATCACCAAGGTGTAATACCCAAGTGCCTCTTCATATGTATATAAAATAATATACATACTGAACCAAACTCCAAAAATAAGGAATTCTTAATTTGTTTTTGTTTTGTTTTCTGATGACTCTGTGTTCTTTATCTCATATGGTGCACATCTGAGGGAAGTGAGGGGGGCACAGAACCAGTGGAAAACAGTTGGAAAAGTGCAGCAATAGAGCCCACTGGCTGTATTGGGCATTGATAAAAGTGAACCACGCAACTTGTGGGCAGAGATGGGAGGGAGGGAATGGGAAAAAATGAGGAAACAGATGATACTAAGCAAAAGGAAGGAAATGTACTTAACTGCCTGACATAATATGTGCAGGTAACTCTGCTGTATATCTCCTCTATAACAACAATAAAGGAATTTTTAAAAGAGAGCAGCATCTCATGGACTTTGCAGTGGACTGGGTTTGAACCCCAATGCTTAGATATCAGCTTCCTGAGTAGCTAGGATTATAAATATGAACCATCATCTGGCTCTATAGAGTTATTTTTAGAGTTAGTTAGAATAGAGATAGAAACTAGATTTTCCAAAGTTCTTCTAAACTGACTTGAGTAAAGTCCTGACTAAAGCTGAAGTTTATTTCTCAGTGTATTTGTAATGCTCGGTGGTTGAAAAGACAGCTACTAAGAGTTTGGTGGTGGCAGTAAGGGATATTAAGTATATTGTTGGAGGAAAATAAATGTGCAAGAGGAATCTCATCTCCTTTTACTTGAGTGTCCTCTCAGATGTAGTCTATACCCTTTCCCGTTGACTTTCCTTTTCCCTCTCTTTCACATCTCTCTGGTCCCTTCTCATTTCAGCTGCCAGAAATCTGGGAGCAAAATCCTGCCAAACAAACCTCATTTGTTTTATGATGGGGTCATTGGGTGAATGGGTTAGGGCTGTGCTATCTCTGAATTTCAGTGAAGCATTTGACAAAGTCTCATGATGTCACCGAAGCATACCTCAGGGTTCCCTCCTCAGCCTTGTCATCTTGATGGATTTCCTTTAATCACATTTTTGATGCCTAGACATTAGAAAGGCTATAAATGCATTGGTTGACAAACTTAGAATCTGAAAAAGGATAGGAATGTATGATGCTTATGGACTAAATAGGACAAGACGAATTTCATCAGAGAAGCAGAGATTAACATTAGATCTTGCAGTTGAGACAAACAAATACAAACTAAATAAACATAACATAGAAGGATAAAACAGAACATACCACAACACAAAAAGTCATAAAGTGTGACTGTTGTCAACATCCAGACAAAAGCTAGCACAAATGGGTTCCTGGAATATGCTCCATTCTAGTCAGGCCACATCTGAGGCATTGTCCTCCATGTCATTTTACAGTGAACTTTGACAAACTGGAGAGGGATTTACAGGATCAGGTCTGGGATGAAGAAGAAACTTACGCACGTGTCATCAGACACAAGTGAAGAAAATGAATGGCTAGAAAATACTGACATTCTTCAAACAGTGTCCAAAAAGTACAGCATTATCAACTGGTGTGATGACAAAAAACACTTTTAGCAAAAACTGGATGACTGCTTTTCAAAAATGTTGATAGAGTGGAATCACAGTTACTAAAATATCACTCAGTCTGAAGATTAGTGAGTATACATACGTAGTAAAAAGTGGGCAAGGTTAGCATGGAGAATATAATAGATGCTGAAACCATTGGTCCAATTCAAAAATTACTTTTAGGGTGTTTTGTAAGTTTAACACATTGCTGAAGGTCCTTTAAGATAATTCAGAAATGGTGAAGCAGTATCAGCAGGAAGGTGACTTGTTTCTTTGGTCTTGTTTTGTAGTCTAGTCTCCTAAGACAAGATCTAGGACTCGGGAGTCCAGCACAGCTGTCTTCTTCAGGAAAACCTGGTACACCGTACTACTTCTCAGCAACAAGCTCCAGGAGAAGACCACTCCATGACTCTGTAGCCCTAGGTGAGTCCATCACACAGAAACTCCCATCTTACAAATGTTTCTAGTCTTTTTAAAATTTCTCCCCACCTGAACTATGCTGGTGTGCTTTTAATTAGAAGGTCCATTGGAAGGGAAAACAATGCAGAGGGTTATTCTGAACAAAACATAATTAAAATTAAAAAGGTGTGCAACTGTGACATATAGGATTGTCACGGTGCTGTTCCCCCTGTCCAGTTCCAAAACAGTACTGGAGAAACCTTGTACAGTATTAAGCCCTCGTACCCTCTCTTCTTTTGTGGCTTTTTTTCTTTCTTTCTTCTTTTTCTTCTTCTTTCCCTTCTCCCTTTCTCCTTCCTCCTTCCCCCTTCCTCTTCCTCCTTTAGATCTCAGAGTCCTGAGTAGCTAGGATTACTGGCATGAGCTACCAGCACCTGGCTTGGCTTTTTTCTAACTCATATGTAGCCCTACTAAGCCAGTGTGTTTTGTGTTAACCTCACATATACCCCAATATCTTATCCAATCAAAATTTTTGGTGATTCCTGCCAAAGACCTTTATTGTAGCATAGGTCAGCTTCTAAAATTATCTACTAAAAGAAACTATGTAATAGGAACAAATATTTGTTGACTGCTTTCAGTTTATATGTGAAATATTTAGGTGAAATGTTAACTGGTTTAAACTGTTTTAAATATTTAAGTGAAATATTTCCGAGGTTTAAGCTCTTGAAGGTTGTGCAAAGGGCATGTTCAGGATTATCAAACTCAGTGATGAAAAATCTTTAACTAGATATATCCACTTCTTAGTATGTATTGGTATGGGTATATATGGTAGGTGATTTAGAAT